CTCACCCAGTTCCCAGTCAATGATAGGGTTATGCTTCTTAAGCCAGGGATACCCCAAGACTATAGGAACTGAAGGAGATGAGATCAGCATGAGGGATATTCTTTCCTCGTGAAGGATACCAGTGGTTAACTTAATTGGTATGGTTTCACGAAAAATCACAGGTTCAGATAATGGTCTACCATCTATGGCCTCAACGGCCAAGGGTGTATCCCTTAGCTGAGATGGGATAGAATGGTTAGTGACAAAGGCTTGGTCAATAAAGCTTTCAGCTGCTCCGGAATCTATCAAAGCCATAGCATTAAGTACTCCCTTTTCCCAAGCTAAAGAAACAGGTATCAGAAGCCTATGATCTTTATAATCATAAATAGAGGACAAGATAGAAACACCCAAGGCCTGTCCTCTTGAGAAACTTAGGTGCGAGCGTTTCCCGGCCGGTTAGGGCAATTTAGGCGTAGGTGACCTCTAATTCCGCAATACATACAAAGACCCTCCCTTCTCCTGTACTGTCTTTCCTCTTCTGAGAGTCGAGTATTACCTATTTGCATAGGTTCTGGGAGAGCTAAAGTAGTAGAATCAGAAGTCTGAAATGAGGGAGCTAGTCTTATGGAGGATCTGCGGGTTCTATCCCGAATATTCTGCCTCTGTCTCATACGTTCATCTATTCGGGAAATAAATGAAATCAGATCCTCCAAATTTTCAGGAAGATCTCTTGTGGCCACCTCATCTAAAATCTCATCAGATAACCCGTTCATAAATACGTCCATATAAGCCTGTTCATTCCACTTGACCTCTGCCGCCAAGGATCTGAACTCCAAGGCATAATCCACTAGGGTTCGGTTATACTGTCTAAGACGTAACAGTAGTCTAGCTGCATTGGCCTTTCTTCCTGGAGGGTCAAAAGCTCTCCTAAATGCAGCGACAAAAGCATTATAATTATAAACTAACGGGTTATCATTTTCCCACAGGGGGTTAGCCCATCTAAGTGCCTTGTCAATGAGCAAGGTAATTATAAATCCAACCTTTGCCCTGTCAGTAGGGTAGGCGTGGGGTTGTAATTCAAAATGAATACCTATCTGGTTTAAAAAACCTCGACAAGTGTCAGGAGCGCCGCCATAGCGTGACGGGGACGTAACACGGGAAGAAGTAGCCACTGTGGCTACCTCTAGGCCTGTACTTATAGGAGAGATAGATGGGGTACGCATCTCCTCTGAGTGACTACTAGGACGAGATAGCAATGCTTGCAGAGCTAGAGCCATCTGGTCCATTCTATGATCCATGGCCTCAAATCTAGAGTCAGGAGAACCGACCTGAGAGTTTGTACCTGCAGGATCCATTGGCCCTGTCGTAATGTCAGGATCGTGACAGGGATCCAACACGCAGAATACAAACAGGGGATAGGTACGTATACCGGACCTTAGAATGGCCGGACTAACGTAAGGAGAAAGCAAAAGAATAGTCAGAGACAAGCCGAGGTCGAGGGAACGAGAGATCAGGTAAGCGAGAGACAAGCCGAGTCAAAAGGACAAGAGAGGAAAGCAGGGTCAAAATACAAGCCGAGTCAGGAACCAAAAGATAATAGAGGTAATTGCACTGAGTGACCAGACTAGCTAGAACCACGACAGGGCAATGAATCATTCCACAGAACCCTTTTTTATACCTTGGCTCTTTAACTGTTGGCTCCGCCCCCAACGGGTCCTGATTGGTTGTTCGGCACTTGGTTGCCGTGATTGACGGGTCGGAACGTGATTGCCGTCATGGCGTCGGCTACTGAGCGCCGCGTCATAAAAGGAGGCGGAGCTATCGCGGCCGGCGTGTAAACGACCGGGAGGAGTGCAAGGATCGGGTGAGTCAGCCCCCCTGGGAGGATGGACGTCTAGGTGTCTAACCTCCTCCGAGGTAGACACCAAAGGTACCCTGACACATGATCACACTGATCAGACTCCATCTTTTTCTTTTTGCACATTTGGTTTTGCTATGAAGATGTGACACCACAACAACATACACGTTTGTGTTATTTTCATATCACATGATGTCCCCTTAAAATTAAATAGACAAGGTTGGATTAGAAACCTATGCTCGGACATATTACATTGCTGTTGAACTGGGGATAATAAATATGATTATCACCATGTGACAATAAACTTGCAATATAGGAATTATTTTGGAATATTGGATTAAGATGTTTATTAATTCCCAGAGACACATTCTTCACTCTATCTCTGATTTGATTGTGACATGTAGTATTTGACATTATGCAATGCTTCTTCATGGATATGTTATCCATATATATTATGTTATATACAGTGATTTGTTTTATTGTTCTATTACTAATAATAGAACACAAATTATTCTGTAGCTCCACATTGAGCATATTAAAAGGATTAATAAAACAGGTTTGCAAATCTCCAAAAAAGTGCGCACATATATCCCTAGACCTAGGGAAACATGACTCTTGTAAACTGCATTACATTTGTATCACCGTCTCCAGTTCTCTAGTCCAAAGGTGCTAATTTGATGGGTTCTTTAGTATGCAATAATCTGAGGCTGCTTCTCTGACAAGGAAACTCTTATTAATAATCACTGTGTACAGCGTGCAGGATGTCTGTCCTTCTGACATAAGGTAACATCGAAATTACAAAATAATATTTTATTTTTGTCCTTATGATCTTTTTCTTTTTGCATTACATCGTTAAGCCTGAGGGATGCTTCTCGTAACAACAAAATTCTTCTAACATTCTCATTTTGGGGAAGAAGTTCCTATTTGATGAAGGGTCACTTACGTGAAAGATAATTGGCTTTACTGAATACAACATCCAGGTAGGATGAAATGTATAAGGAAGCCTGAGCTGACTTTATGCGAATACATTGGGGGATATCAATCCAAGATCCGAATGACATACCTGGGTGGAATTTCATATAAACATGCTGTTAAATAAATTTTAGAAGCCAACCATCACCAATCAATAATGAGATTTACCAATGCCGTTATTGGACAGGGGTCATGATTGCGGTGACTGGCCAAACCGAGCAGGAAACTCTGAGCCCATTCCTGTCCAATTGTTCCAACAATGAGATTTACGAATGCCGTTATTGGACAGGGGTCATGATAGCGGTGACTGGCTAAACCGAGCAGGTAACTCTGTCCATTCCTGTCCAAATGTTCAAACTACTCACCACATTGGTTTATGTCATTGTACAGCCGGTGTCCATGCCTATTTAAACACATTGTATTCTCCTTCTCAGTAACTTGGTATTAGTCATGTCATATTATTGACATATTAATCCATTCCTAGATTCACATAACAGATCTTATTTTTAAAGAGGCAGATATTACAAACACCAGTAAGTGGCTCATTCCTTCATTCCCCACTGAGTGCACGACTCTCGGACTTGTGTTATGCATATCTAGCTTTTTTAGTAGAAGTCTCTTCTTGAAACTTAGTTTTTCCCATTTTGGAGTTAATAAAGTAATATACAAATGTAGGAAGAAGAAATGAGAAAGAGGGTTCCCTCGATAAATGCAATGGAGAGTTCTGGGGCAAAGCTATAAAAGTGGAGCTGCTGCCAAGGAAACTAGTGGAATGTTCGAAAAGATTACTTCTAGAATTTCCATAATATCACATAAAAGTGATCAAAATAATGGAAATAATTAAATATGGTTCTGAAAACAACTACAACAAACGTTGTTCTATGTCTCAAGTATGCATTAATGCAATTAAATCATTTAATTAATCATGTAATATTTTGATGTGAAAATGATTCACGTAATATTTTCCTTTGGAAAATCCAGACATATTTTAGAGCCTGGATTTCTCAATGAACTATTATTTTTAACTTGCTAAGGCCTGGATTTAATAAGCTTTCCAAATTATTTATCTTCAGAAGTCCTTGTTAAAGTCTATGAGAATAATTGTAGATACATTTATTTGGAAAAATTTTCTAACAGTTTTGAATCATTCGTAAAGCTTATTAAATCAAGGTCTAGGTGCTGTGGTGGGAGCAACATATTAAATCCCCAATGACTGGAGTAAGGGCTAAACTAAACATCAGAAGATCAGCTTGCAATATCACTTTCTGCCACAAAGTGGCAGCAACATACCACATATACATAAGTGTTGGTTACTGTGTGATGCTTCGTTATATTTACTTGCCATTCGAGTTTCTGGTAAAGTCAACATTTTTCATAAATTCTTCTAAATTTTCTGATCCTAATAGTGGGGTGATTTTTTTTTTTTACTAACTTAACTGATAGAATTAGCATAAAGCGTCTACAATGTTTTAGCATTAACGGAATTCTAGTTCACATACAGTGTATCAGCTAAGATTCTCGTTCACTGTGCTATATAAGAGAACTTTCAAGGCAGGTTATGGTTTTAAGGGGTCCGCTGACAATGTGTTGTTTGCAATATTTATTTTCAAACTGTTCAACAACAATGACAATAACATTGCATGAATTACAAATTAACTTAACAGAAATTAAAATTAAAAAAATATAACTGGGGAATACAATGAATATATCTTTTTAGTATTAATTACATTTATATATGAAATTATTGTCTGTAATATTTCCATGTTTCTGTTGTAGCACTGTAGTTTGTCGCTATGTAAAGTTATCTAATTTTTGGGATAAATCTTACTTGCCTGAGTGATATTCAGAATAATCATGTGCTTTCTCAGCACTCCCGGTTCGCACTGGATGTTTTACTTTTAGTATATAGAGGACCATATCGTTTGAGCGGCAGCATATGCATATCATACCACTACTTAGTTCTGGCGAGTCATTTCAGAATGAAAATAAAAAGAATAAGAAAGCTGAAAATGTTTGGTTTTTAATTTTGTGTTTATTTATTGTATTTATTTCTCATCTCCATAAAACAGGAATAGTGATGTCCCGAACGGTTCGCTGAACAGTTCGCCACGGATGGCGAACATATGCGCTGTTCGGTCCGCCCCCTATTCGTCATCATTGAGTAAACTTTGACCCTGTACCTCACAGTCAGCAGACACATTCCAGCCAATCAGCAGCAGACCCTCCCTCCTAGACCCTCCCACCTCCTGGACAGCATCCATTGTGAAGCTGCATTCTTAGTAAGCTGTCCATGAGGTGGGAGGGTCTGGGACAGAGGGTCTGCTGCTGATTGGCTGGAATGTGTCTGCTGACTGTGAGGTACAGGGTCAAAGTTTACTCAATGATGACATAGGGGGCGGACCAAACAGCGCATATGTTCGCCATCCGTGGCGAACCGTTCGGGACATCACTAAACAGGAATTCTCATTAAAGATAACTCTCACTAACACGTGTTAAAAATGAAAATACCACTACTATCTACTCCCCCTTCTCCCTCCAATGTATTTGCAGTTTATCCCTCTAGTGTTACAGCATAACTAATAATAAAAAATAAGTAATATACAAAGTAGCTGTGATAGGTTGTAGCATATGTTATTCTACTTTGCAAAGGTATAATGTTCATAGCTTTTAAATTTTGAATCAATTATTTCCTGCACTGTCAATAGCTTGCTAGAACTTACAGAAGCAACCTCCTGTGTGGTTCAATTTATAGAGGAGGAGATAAAATCTGCTTGAAAATAAAAAGAAAATACAACCTTTTTTTTCATGCCTTGCTGGCTGTGTGAGTCACAGCCAGGGGAGATGTGGCTAGGGCTGCATAAACAGAAAAAAATAATTTAACTCCTAAATGAGATGGATATCTTTTTTTTCTGCACATTTTTTCCCTTTTTAAAATCGGGTCTATTTTTATTATTTAAAAGTTCGATATGACCTTATGGGTTTTATTTGGCCTTTTTTGGTACTGAAAAAAGAAGATGGAACAAAAAAGATGTCTAATGGTGTAGCGGAGCTGCAGTATTAAATTCCAAGATCTCCGCTGGTACAGAAGGTAATCCAAAGTAAAGCGCTGAAAAGTAAGGCAATATCCCAAATCCCCCAGTAAACGGACGAAACACAGTTCTGGGAGTCAACTGAGCTTTTATTCACAAGTCACAGTATTTATGCATGTCCCCATGCAAGGGGTTTCCCTACTGACATTGCAGGGGTTATACAGTAGGGGACTACATAGGGGACTTAACAATCTGGACACTTCTCCCATCAGGCACTACTGGACGAGAGGGATACTCCCACTAGAATATACCGTTAAGTGGATTATCCCTCCGTGCAGCAGAACCAACATTTCACATTAAAATACATAACTTTTACATCATTCACTTTATTTAAACGAATGGACGTTCGGTAGATAGCTGGGGTCTGAGCGCACCTTTCGTGAGAATACCGCTCAGATCCCAGCATAAATAACCGAACACCGCACGAAATACACTTTAACATCATGTTCGCCTGAAAGTACCGAACACCGATGGGGAACCACAATATTGAAAGACCGGAGCTCCCGAACGGCCTGGAAGTCCAGCGGTGTTCGCGCCGTCGAGTAGCCGATTTTAGTTCCACGCGCTTGATGACCAAACACCGCTGGGTGAATAAAGGATCCAAGATGGCCGCCCGCCGCGTGGTCGGTAGCTGAACGACGGCCACCTAGGAACACAATTAACTGCCAATTGCAACAACGTTGCAATCGGTTAATGGGTGCCACACGACCCTCTGTGTGTGGGCTCCTGTTCGGTATTTTATTCATTTCCCGAACAGCAGGTAAAGTCCCTGTCCGTGAAACGAACACATGAATGCTAGCGGCTTTCGGCTGCTAGCATACGAATGCTTTATGATATAACAGTACAGGTATACATTAGAATACAAGAGTCCAGCGGCTTATACAGACGACCTTTGCAGATACAGCCATGTAATCTAAAAGTGGCTAGGTTTGCCACAAATGGTAAGTCTTATTTTTTATTTTTATTTTACAGGTATTAGTTTATTGCCCCCACACCTCAAATATTATTAGGGTATTAGGTAGGTATTTTTGTTATTGGGGAAGGGTGTGGCAAGGGGCTTGGGGACCCCTAGTTGGAGGGGGATAATTTTTATTTTTAGCCCCTAAAAATAGCCAGTGGGAAGGGACTGGAGGGGGACAACAGGTGGACAGGGGACAATAAGTGGACAATAAGTCAGCCACAATTTTTGTTAAGGGCCCTCACCAGTTACCAATCTGTGGGGGTACAATAGGTCTCCCTATTATTATTTCATTTATTTAACAGACCTCTCCCAATGGCTGGAGGGGGGCCATTCGGTCAACTGTTTAGTTTAAAAGCCCCTATTTGCAGAAAGTTCCCCCCAGTTGATTATTTAAATAGGTGCCCAACCATGAGGGCCCTTTGCCAGATCCCCCTTTATTGGATTAGTGACTGGGCAGCAATACCTGTCTAGTTACTAGGCTGTTTTTATAACAGTAAGTAGCCACTTTAGTAGACATGCCCCTACTCAAAGCACAGCAAGTATGAGGAGGAAGGGTTTAAAATCCCTCTTTTACAAATACTATATATAAAGTATTATATTACACAGCATTAGTACAGTTGTCTGAAAAAAACAAAATTACAAAAAGCCCTTTCTTTGCAAAATGTTGGTCTTTAAAGGACCACTATAGTGCCAGGAAAACATACTCGTTTTCCTGGCTCTATAAGGTCTCTAGGTCCCCCCAGCCTCAGGGCCCCCCTCCCGCTAGGGGGTGGAAGGGTTAAATTTACCTCTTTTTCCAGCACCGGGCGGGGACTCTCCTCCTCCTTCTCGTCTTCATCGGCTGAATGCGCAGAACGAGCCATTCACGCATTCAGCCAGTCCATAGGAAAGCATTCTCAATGCGTTCCTATGGACGCTGGCATATTCTCACTGTGAAAATCACAGTGAGAAGCGTGGAAGCGCCTCTAGCGGCTTTCAATGAGACAGCCACTAGAGGCTGGATTAACCCTATTATAAACATAGCAGTTTCTCTGAAACTGCTATGTTTATAGAAGAAAGGGTTAATCCTAGCTGGACCTGGCACTCAGACCACTTCATTAAGCTGAAGTGGTCTGGGTGCCTATAGTGGTCCTTTAACCCCTTAAGGATCAAACTTCTGGAATAAAAGGGAATTATGACATGTCACGTGTCCTTAAGGGGTTAAACTTCTTAGTAGCTTGCTTCCAAAAAACGTGTGGGATTACCAAAAAGGAGCTATCTACTAAACAGCTCCCTAAATTGCTGAGCTGATCCTAGGGGGCGGGGGGGTACAGACTGCCCAGGTGCTCTCTAGCTAGGCAGGGTGTGCAGCACTAAGCTGGATACATAGGGGGGCAGAGAATAGCGCTGCACACCCTGTCTAGCTTCAAAGCACCTGAACAGTCCAAACTGCTTCAGGATCCACTCTGCTAATTTGGTACACTTAAATATCGTAACCCCATAAGGGCAATTTAAGGGTATCAAAATGGCAGGAAGATGCAGCCATGGCATGCCTCAGAATTTAATTCCACTAAATTAAATTCCTAAATGAAAATAATGGCAGCATTTCATCTAAAAACAAATGAACAAATGGACAAAACTCATTTTGGACAAAACAGAATTTTATTCAGCCAAATTGTATTCAGACACAATGAGAATTTTAGCAGCGCCCAAGTCTAGTTTGTACCTACCAAAAGCAGTGCAAGGAAGCATAACCAGTTAACCAACATCAGGGTCATGGGAACCCAAGGCTCATTGATGCATATGGAGAGTGAAGCCTAGTCCATCTGGTCCAATCAAACAGCAGGGCTACTGTAGCTCAAATTGCTGACAAACTTAATGCTGGACATAATAGAAAGATGTCAGAACACACATTGCATTGCAGTCCACCACCGAAATTGCCTTTAATGGGGACCATGGAGCTATGGAAAAAGGTTGCTTGGTCTGATGAATAACATTTTCTTTTAAATCAGGTGTATTGCCTCATGCATGTGAGTCATTTACCTGGGGAAGAGATGACAGAAGGATGCACTAAAGGGAAAAGGCAGGTCGGCGGAAGCATTGTTAAGCTCTGGGCAATGCTCAGCTGGGAAATCTTGGGTCCTGGCATTCATGTGGATGTTACTTAGACACGTACCACCTACCTAGAGGTGGTTGCAAACCGAGTACACCCCTTCATAGCAATGTTCCCTGATGGCAGTGGCCTCTTTCAGTAGGATAATGCACCCTGCTAAAATTATTCAGGAGTGGTTTAAGGAACAAGAAGTTCAAACCTTGGCCTCCAAATTCCCCAGGTCTCAATTTGATTGAGCATCTGTGGGATGTGCTGGAAAACAAATCCGATCCATGGAGGTCACACTTTGCAACTTTAAGGACTTAAAGGATCTGCTGCTGATTTCTTGGTGCCAGATACCCCAGGACACGTTCAGAGGTCTTGTGGAGTCCATGCCTCAACACATGAGAGCTGTTTTGTCAGCATGAGGGGGAACCTACACGATATTAGGCACAGGGTTATAATGTTGTGGCTGACCAGTGATATAAACTGCTTAGCGTTTGCCCAAATTTGTCTCTTTATGAAGAGTACAATGAAGAAAACAAGTATTTATATACGTAGTTATTTATTTATTTACTTGTTACATATAACAAGAGAAATCCTATAACCCCGTTATATCAAATTAATTTATGTGTCCTTGTTGTGGCAAACATAGCCACTTTAAGACTACTGTATGTATAGGGTGGCCCGGGAGAGATGGGTTAATCTATAGTTATTGTATACTTGTTCGGTTAAATGTGTATAAAGAGCATTCGTATGCTAGTGGCACGATAGCCGCTAGCATTCCTATGCTAGTTTCACGAACAGTGACTTTCAACACTGTTCGTGAAACGAACAAAGTACCGAATGGGAGACCACACACAGGGGGTCGTGTGGCTCCCATTACGGATTGAAACATTGTAGCTACCCTCGGTTAATAGGTTTTCAGGGTGGCCACCGTTCGGATACCGGCGGCCATCTTGGATCCTTTGTTAGCCCAGCGGTGTTTGGTTGTCGTGTGCCTGGAACTAAAATCGGCTACTCGACGGCACGAACAGCACTGGACTTCCAGGCTGTTCAGGACTACCGGTCATTCGGTAGTTTCCTACAAATCGTTCATTCGTCTGTTTTATGATATGTGTATATTAATCGTTGTTTCGTGTGGCATTCGGCGGATTGAGATGGGATCTGAGCGGTAGTTTCATGAACTATGCGCTCAGATCCCAGCTATCTATACAGAGGTCATTCGACTAAATGGCACGAATAACATGCAAGTTATATATTTTTAAGTAAAATGCTCGGTTTTGCTGTACGGAGGGATAATCCACTTAAGATATTCTGTGGGAGTATCCCTCTTGTACAGCAGTGCATGGTGGGAGAAATATCCTGTATGTTAAGTTCCCCATGTAGTCCCCTGCTGTTTAACCCTTGTAAAGTAATTAAGGAGACCCCTTGAATGGGGAACCACATAAATACTGGAGCATGTGAATAAAACCTCAGTTGACTCCCAGCCTATGTGTCGTCTAGTTCTTGAGAAGGAATAATCCTTATAACGCTACCGGGATTTTTATAAGCTGTACTTGTTTTCTTGGCTTATTGTATGCTGTCCCTGTCTACCAGGGAGATACTGTGGATTATACTACCTCTCCGCTACAATTGGTGGCATGCGACGGGATTTCAAACACACAGCAAACCAGCGTTCGGCAGTAATCACACGAATAAAGAAGAGAAGCAGCAGTTCAACGGAACAAACCATTCGGATAAAACCAGTGTTCGGTAAATATGTCAAAATATACGAACGACTGGTGAATGGAGTCGAACTATGCAGCATTGAAACGGGCTACACTGAAAGAATTATTGCAAGCAAGGGGAAAAAGCACCAGCAATAAAACAAAAGCGACCCTTGTGGCAGAACTCATGGAGGGAGACAGAGAAACCACTGCAGCGGCTCCACGAGAAACAGAACCCAGCAAATTTGACAAGGAGCTGAGGAGCAAGCTAGCCTTTTATCCAGAGACTCCCTCCGTAGAGATACTGACCTGAATGATGGCAGGCTCCAAGCAAATCAGCGAGCCGGGGAAAGAGCCCCAACACCTGTCAGCACTACCCCAGGGAAAGCCAAGATTCCCTACCAAGCCTTTAAGAGCTATACAGAAGCTGACGGCGACACAGATGACTACCTGCAAGATTTTGAGAGGTTGTGCCAACTACACGACATCAGCGCGGCGGATCAGGTACCACTACTGGCTGGGAGACTATCTGGCCGCGCAGCGGAGGTGTACCGGCCCAGGCCAGATGAGGACAGTAGAGACTACGCTAAAGTGAAAGAAGCCATTTTAGCCAAGTATGCGATTACCTCAGAGGCATACCGGCTAAAGTTTCGGGACATTAAAAAACTGAACAAAGATACACACACAGAGTGGGCTCTTGAAAACCTGTTCCAGCTAATGGTCATGGAGCAGTTCTTCAACGGGATACCCCCATGTACAAAATTGGGTAAGGGACCGAAAACCTTGCACGCTCCAAGAGGCAGACAAACTGGTAGATGAGTTCCAAGATACCAGAAGGGACCAGCGCACCCAGCATCGACCGGTCTATGGACCTACAGCACTGTTACCAGCCGTGACCTCAACTGTCCAGCACCGACCAGGGGTAAGCCAGAATACCTACACCCCCAGATACCCTACCCATCCTCCGATCCGTTGCCACACCTGCAACCAGCATGGGCATATGCAGCGAGGCTGTCCCCGCAACCAACCCAGACCAAGCTGGAATAACACAGCATCCAGCAACCGAGCAGCCGTGCACTGTATACAAGCAGAACAGTACGGAGCACCCGAGGCAGCCAACCCAATGGAAGAACCTATGAGGGCGCTACATGAGGTAAACCCCATTCAGGCCACCTCAGATAACCGGCAGAGTCACCGACAGGACGTACACATGGAAGGGAAAAAGGTACAAGGTTCACGAGACTCTGGGGCCACATTAACGCTAGTCCGAAATGATCTGGTGCCAAAGAATAATCTAACTGGGGATTGTGTCACTGTACGAGTGGCAGGGGGAGCGATTTACAAGGTCCCCACTGCCAAGGTGCATTTGAATTGGGGAGCGGGACACGGAAATGTGGAGGTGGGGATGATGCAGGATTTACCCGCTGATGTCATCTTGGGCAACAACCTGGGGGAGCTGACTTCAGCTTTTGTTCCCCAACCCACCATTCAGGAAGAGTACCCTGTTGTGACCCAGCAGCAGGCCCGCACCACAGCTCCATCTAACCACTCTGAGGCTCAGGTAAGCAATGTAAACCCCATACCCTGGGCGACCCCTGTCGCCCAGGGTATGGGGTCATGCCCTGGGAGACCCCTACCTGCAGATATATAAGGACCGTATAGACATGGACCAGGCAGGGCTAGAAGGGGAAAGGTACACCTGGGACAAGGGGCTACTTTACCGCCACGCAGAGAAGGTAGTAGCTGGATCCATTCCTCTACCCATTAAACAGCTAATTGTTCCCCGGAAATATAGATTAGAATTGTTACGCATCGCCCATGATATTCCCCATGACTATCATTTTCCCATGATAGTCTGGGCACTTAGGAATCAGCCGCACTAAGCACAGGCTGACCCAGAACTTCTTCTGGCCAGGTATATCACAGGATGTTAGACGATATTGTCAGACCTGTGATACCTGCCAGAGGGTAGGGAAGGGGGTAGACCGCTACAAAGCCAGGCTCCATTCCCTACCCACAATTGGGGAACCCTTCAGTAGGGTGGCGGTAGAAATAATAGGTCCCCTAGCAAAGCCCAGTCCCTCTGGCAAGAAGTACATCTTGACCAGATATCCAGAAGCGGTGGCTTTGACTAATGTACACGCGGAAACGGTGGCAGATGCCCTTATGCGAATATTCTCCCGCGTGGGATTTCCCCGGGAGATTATTTCGGATAGGGGCACCCAATTCACTGCAGAAGTCACATACCAGCTACAACAGATCTTGAAATCCGCCTACCACCCCCAGTCCAACGGTCTCTGTGAACGGTTTAACGGAACACTCAAACAGATGATCCGTACGTTCATAGACACTCAGAAAGACTAGGAACGGTTCCTACCTCACTTGCTTTTCGCTTATAGGGAAGTACCCCAAGAGTCCACCTGTCACGATTCGGGGAACCAAACACGCCAACACACACACACACACAAAGTGCCGTACCGGACCTTAGAGTGGCCGGGCTAAGCACACAAAGAATAGTCAGGAAACAAGCCGAGTAAAGGGGAACCAGAAGACAGAATAACGTGAAACAAGCCGAGGTCAAAGGGTAGGAGAAAGTCACAAAGTCGGATAAACAAGCCAGAGAGTACGTAACCAGAAGCACAAGTTCAGAATCAATACTAGCAAGTAAAGACCACAACAGGGCGAAGAGGAACAGGAAAGGTGAGTATATAAATCCAAAGGTTAATTCTGATTGGATAATTTCCAATCAGAATTAACAATCACACGTGGGAGATATCTAAACCTCCCACTGTGATTGAGGCACTGTGCCTTTAATGCCGGGTCAGGTGACTGACCCCGGCGTTTGTTAAAATGGGCGGTCTCCCAGCATGCAGCGTCATGCATGCTGCCGCTGGGGGACACAGAGGAAGAGGCGGACGGCACCCGTGGGGGAGGATGCCGCCCGCCGAGCACACGGCCAGGAAGGGGACCGCGGACGGCTGGAGGGTGAGTGCCGCGAGCGGACGGCAACCTCCCCTCGCAGCCGCCCGCGGGACCCTGACAGTACCCCCTCCTCGAAGACCGCCCGGAGGGCGGGAAGCAGAAGGCTTCAAAGGAAACCGGGCATGAAAGGAGCGGACTAAAGAGGGGGCGTGCAAATCAGAGCTCGAAACCCAAGACCGCTCCTCAGGGCCGTAACCCCTCCAATCCACCAGGTATTGCAGCCGACCCCTAGAAACACGAGAGTCGAGAAGGGCAGCTACTTCGAACACGTCACTAGAGACAGTACGAGGGGAAACGGGCCGTCCGAGAGGACGAGAGAACCGGTTACACAGCAAGGGCTTCAAAAGCGAAACATGAAACGTGTGCGGAATACGCATGGAAGGAGGCAAGTCCAGGGAGTAGGAAACGGGGTTGATCCTACGTAACACTTTGTAGGGACCAAGAAACCTGGGAGCAAACTTCATGGAGGGGACCCTGAGACGGAGGTTCTTGGAGGACAACCACACCCTATCACCCGGAGTATAAGAAGGGGTCGCACCCCTATGGCGATCAGCGAACTTCTTCTGAGCAGCTGCTGAACGAGACAGCGCAATATGGACCTGATCCCACGTCTTCCGTAAAGAGGCGAGGTGCTGGTCCAAGGCGGGCATTCCCTTGTCAGAGAACGCTCCGGGAAGGACAGAAGGCCGAAACCCATAAGCAACCTCAAAAGGACTTAAGCCAGTAGACGAATGAGACACCGCATTCCTGGCAAATTCAGCCCACGGAAGAAGGCGAGACCAGTCGTCCTGGTGCGCATTAGTGAAGCAGCGCAAATACAATTCCACAGACTGATTAGCACGTTCGGCTGCACCATTAGATTGCGGGTGATAGGAGGAAGTGAACGACAAGGAGACCCCCATCTCAGCACAAAAGCCCCTCCAAAACCGAGAGACAAATTGCGGGCCCCTGTCAGAAACAATATCCTGAGGTACCCCATGCAATCGGAACACTTCCTTGGCAAACACCTGGGCAAGCTGAATCGCAGAGGGTAGTTTCTTAAGTGGAATAAAGTGGGCCATTTTAGAGAACCTATCCGTCACAGTTAATATCACCGTCTGACCATCAGAAGGAGGAAGGTCCACAATAAAATCCATGGACAAGTGGGTCCATGGTTTCTTGGGTATAGATAGAGGCATCAGTAGGCCTTGGGGTCTCATATTAGGAGACTTACATTGCGTACAGACCCGACAAGCCTGAACAAAATCCACTACGTCTCGCTTGAGTGAAGGCCACCAGAACTGTTGAAGGAGGCTCTTATAAGTCTTGGTAACCCCCGGATGACCAGCAGTTTTGGCGGTGTGAAATAATGTTAACAACTTTTTTCTGTCACTTACTTTCACGTATAGTTTACCAACAGGCATCTCCTGAGGCGCTTGGGTTTGGTATGTCTTAATATTCTCAAGGAAGGGAGATGAAACAACCAAACGGGTAGCAGCTATGATCTGAGAAGCTGGTACAATAGGTTCAGGGGTTGGGTTAACAAATTCTAAAGGTTCATACTGTCGAGAGATAGCGTCAGCTTTGGCATTACGGCAACCAGGTCTATAGGTAATAATGTATTGGAATCGCGAAAGGAATAGAGACCATCTAGCCTGTCGGGCGGACAACCTTCTAGCATCGGTTATATAGGAGAGGTTCTTATGATCTGTCAGAACCATAATTTTGTGTCTAGAACCCTCTAATAAGTACCTCCATTCCTTAAAAGCTAACACAATAGCTAAGAGTTCTCTGTTCCCAACATCGTAATTCTTTTCTGGATCAGACAACCTTTTAGAAAAGAAACAACAGGGATGGAGGGGTTCGTCATACGATAACCTTTGTGATAGTACTGCTCCCACCCCCGATTCAGAAGCATCTACTTCCATAACAAAGGGAAGAGAAGGATTAGGGTGGTGTAGTACTGGAGCAGAGGCAAATGCTTTCTTGAGAGTTTCAAAGGCTTTAAGGGCTTCAGGAGTCCAAACCCTAGGGTGTAGACCTTTTTTAGTCAGCTTTGTGATAGGAGAGATAAGTGGTGAGAAGTTTTTTATAAATTTTCTATAATAGTTAGCAAAACCTATAAAACGCTGGATAGCCTTAAGTCCTTGGGGAAGTGGCCAGGACAGTATAGCTTCCAATTTAGCAGGATCCATACTAAAACCCTGTTCAGAAATTATATATCCCAGGAATTGCACAGAGGTCTGATCGAACAGACATTTTTCTAACTTACAATAAAGTCCGTTCTGTAATAATTTTTTAAGCACCATCCTAACATGTTTATGATGTGACTTCAAATCAGGAGAATATACAAGTATGTCGTCAAGGTACACCACGGCACAGACATGCAATAGATCCCTAAGGACATCGTTTATGAGATCCTGAAACACAGCAGGAGCGTTACACAGTCCAAAAGGCATGACCAGGTATTCATAATGCCCACTACGCGTATTGAACGCTGTCTTCCACTCATCATTCTCCTTTATACGGATAAGGTTATAAGCTCCCCTGAGGTCTAGTTTAGTAAAGTACTTAGAACCTTTAACGCGGTCAAACAACTCAGTGATGAGGGGGATAGGGTAGGCGTTTTTAACCGTTATATTGTTCAGACCCCTGTAGTCTATACACGGCCTCAAATCGCCCTCCTTCTTTGCCACAAAAAAGAAACCAGCACCAGCAGGAGAGGAGGACCTTCTAATAAAACCTTTCCTTAAGGATTCTCGTATGTACTCCTCCATGACCTGGTTTTCTTTCTCAGAAAGAGGGTAGACCTTACCCCTAGGGGGCATAGTGCCCGGTAAAAGGTTTATGGCACAGTCATAGTCACGATGTGGAGGTAGCTTATCTGCCTCCCTCTTTTCAAAAACCAATGCAAGATCTGCATATACAGAAGGGACAGAAACAGAGAGTGGTTTAGCCGTGGGCACGTTGAGTAAACAAACAGGACGTACCTGAGCCATACAGTCTCGTTGACAGGATTCCCCCCAGGATAGTATATCCAAGCAACCCCAATCGAGAACAGGGTTGTGTTTCACTAACCAGGGAAAACCCAGAACGATGGAAGCAGTAGGGGAGTCAATTATTTGGAAGGTTAACCTTTCCTTATGCAAAACACCTACAGACATCACTATTTCTTGGGTCTCATGGGTCACCAGAGGTTTCTCAAGTGGTCTACCATCTATGGCCTCAACGACCAAGGGTGTGGCCTTTTGGATCAAAGTTAAGGCTGCGGTTTTAGCGAAGTTCTCATCCATAAGGTTGTCTGCCGCACCTGAATCGATCAAGGCTTTGGTGGTTATGGTGGTTTTATTGACCAAAAGAGAAACCGTAATAAACGGTCTGGAGATGGACACATGAGGGGACAAAGTCATAACACCCGAGGCCGACCCCTCTCTAGGCCTTAGGTGCTGTAGTTTCCCTGTAACTTAGGGCAGGCATTACAGTGGTGCCCCCTCTTTCCACAATAAAGGCATAACCCCTCCCTTCTACGATATGCTCTTTCAGCCTCAGTTAGCCCCGTAGCACCCAATTGCATGGGTTCGGGGGTTGGTTGACTAGGAGCGGGTAGTGCTAGTAAAGCAGTAGAGGGGGGGAGCAGGTAATGCCCGTGTATCCATCCGTCTTTGACTACGCCTCTCTCTAATACGGTTATCAATAAGAATGACATAATCTATGACATCATCTAGAAGAACAGGCAATTCCCTGGATGCTATTTCATCCAGTATGTAGGCGGCCAAACCCTCCTGAAAGGCTGTTACGAGGGCATCATTATTCCAAACCACTTCAGCTGCTAGCGTGCGGAATTCGATAGTATAATCCGCTACAGATCTATTACCCTGTCGTACCCTAAGCAGAGCTTTGCCAGCAGAGGCAACCCTACCGGGTTGATCAAACGTACGTTTGAAAGCTGTCAAGAACTCTACAAAGGACATAGGAGATGTATTCTCCCACATGGGGTTAGCCCATGCTAAAGCTTTCCCGGACAGGTGGTTAATCAAAAAGGCAATTTTGGATCTGTCAGTGGGATAGGAACGTGGATTCATCACCAAATGGATGTCAATTTGGTTAAGGAAACCACGACACAATGGTGGGTCACCGCTGTAGCGTTGTGGCGGTGTCATGTGAACAACATGAGCAGGAACGGGTACCAGAGTGGGAATGGGTTCGGGCACAGCAGCAGCAGCCTCCTGGACGGCAGGTTGCAAGTGTGCAGTACGAGCCAGTATGGTTTGTAAAGCTTGGGCAAACTGGTCCATACGGTGGTCCAAGCCATCCATTCTAGCCTCCTGATTAACTAGGAGCTGTGGTATGTCAGCAGGTTCCATTATGGCCCTGTTGTAATGTCACGATTCGGGGAACCAAACACGCCAACACACACACACACACACAAAGTGCCGTACCGGACCTTAGAGTGGCCGGGCTAAGCACACAAAGAATAGTCAGGAAACAAGCCGAGTAAGGGGAACCAGAAGACAGAATAACGTGAAACAAGCCGAGGTCAAAGGGTAGGAGAAAGTCACAGAGTCGGATAACAAGCCAGAGAGTACGTAACCAGAAGCACAAGTTCAGAATCAATACTAACAAGCAAAGACCACAACAGGGCGAAGAGGAACAGGAAAGGTAAGTATATAAATCCAAAGGTTAATTCTGATTGGATAATTTCCAATCAGAATTAACAATCACACGTGGGAGATATCTAAACCTCCCACTGTGATTGAGGCACTGTGCCTTTAACGCCGGGTCAGGTGACTGACCCCGGCGTTGGTTAAAGTGGGCGGTCTCCCAGCGTGCAGCGTCATGCATGCTGCCGCTGGGAGACACAGAGGAAGAGGCGGACGGCACCCGTGGGAGAGAGGGTGCCGCCCGCCGAGCACACGGCTGAAGGGGGACCGCGGACGGCTGGAGGGTGAGTGCCGCGAGCGGACTGCAACCTCCCCTCGCAGCCGCCCGCGGGACCCTGACACCACCGTGTTCTCTACCTTCAAATTACTATTCAGGAGGAGAGTGAGGGGCCCCCTTGATTTAATTTGAGAACACTGGGGAGGGAGAGGGGACCACTAATGGTATCATCCCATATGTACTGGAGTTTAGGGAACGCTTGGAGGCTCTGGCACAGACCGTGCGCGACAACCTTCAGGCAGCCCAACAACTACAGCGCAGATGGTACGATAGGGGAGCCAGGGACCGCAGCTTTCAGGTTGGGCAGAAAGTACTAATCCTATGGCCCGTCCACAAGGACAAGCTGCAGGCTTCCTGGCAGGGCCCATACAAGGTGGTAGAACAGATATGTGATACCACCTGTAGCAGAGCTGCAATGTTAAATCCCAAGATCTCCGCTGGTACAGAAAGTGATCCAAGTCAAGCGCTGGAAATTAATAAAATATCCCAAATCCCCCAGTAACCGGACGAAACACAGTTCTGGTAGTCAACTGACAATTTTATTCACAGCTCCAGTATTTATGTGATTCTCCATGCAAGGGGTTTCCTTAGTCACTTTACAGGGGCTACACAGTAGTGGACTACATGGGGAACTGAAAATACAGGGCATTTCTCCCACCTTGCACTGCTGTACAGGAGGGATACTCCCACTAGAATATCCTGTTAAGTGGATTATCCCTCCGTACAGCAGAACGGACTTTTCACAGTGTTTCACTTTTCACGGTGTTCGCGCCGCCGAGTAGCCGATTTTAGTTCCAGGTGCTCGACGACCAAACACCGCTGGTATAACAAAGGATCCAAGATGGCCGACCGCCGCGTGGTCGGTAGCCGAACGACGGCCACCTATGAAAGCACTTATCCGCTGATTGCTACAATGTTGCAATCGGTTAATGGGAGCCACACGACCCTCTGTGTGTGGGCTCCCATTCGGTACTTTATTCGTTTCACGAACAGTGTATAAAGTCACTGTTCGTGAAACTACCATAGGAATGCTAACAGCTTTCGGCTGGTAGCCTATGCATGCTCTCTATTATAAAAACACACAAATACATTCTAACGCAAGATTAACACAGCTTTTTACAGACAACCTTCAGATGTTAAGCAGTATGACTTAAAGTGGCTAGGTTTGCCACAATGCTCCCCCAGAACCAAGCCGGCATACACAGTCTGATCCCAACGGATCGGCTTGGGGCTGTCCGCAGGAGTACTCATAGATCACTTTTCAAGTTCAGTTTGTCTGGATAGCACGTCGGCGTTACCGTTTTGCTTCCCGGGCGGTAATGAATGGTAAAGTCAAAAGGCTGCAGTGCCAAACTCCAGCGCAGCAGCCTGGCATTGTCCCCAGCCACACGGTTCAGCCACACAAACGGGTTGTGATCTGTGAGTAAGGAAAAATGTTGTCCGTATAAATAAGGCTGTAACTTTTTGAGGGCCCACACCACGGCCAGGCATACCTTCTCGATGGCGGCATAGCTTACTTCGCGGGGTAATAACTTTCGGCTTAGGTAAGCTACGGGATGTTCTCCGCCATCTGCTCCAACTTGGTTCAGCACTGCTCCCAATCCAAACATTGAAGCGTCTGTGTGGACAAGAAATCGTTTAGTTGGATCAGGAGCAGCAAGTACAGGTGCATTGGTTAAAGCAGTCTTGAGTTGTTGAAATGCCTGATCACACTCTGGGGCCCAGATGACCTGTGGAGGAAGATTTTTGCGCGTCAAGTCAGTCAGGGGTTTGGCCAGGGCACTGTAATTGGGCACGAACTTCCGATAGTACCCTGTGGTGCCCAGGAATGCTAACACGTGGGTTAGGCCACTTAGCTACCGCCTCTATTTTAGTTGGTACCGGTTTTTGCTGCCCACTCCCTACCCGGTGCCCAAGGTGCCTCTGCCATCCCTACACTTGCTAGGTGTTATCGTCAACCCTGCCTCTCGAATATGGTCTAGGACTGCTCCAATATGTTGCAAGTGGTCTGACCAGGTCTGGCTGTATATGGCGATATCATCCAGGGATGCACATGCATACTCCTGGAACCCGTCCAGTAGCCGATCTACCATCCGTTGAAAGGTAGCCAGAGGGTTTTTCATCCCGAAGGGCATGACTCTAAACTTGTACAGGCCAAATGGGTTGACAAACGCCGACTTGGGGATGGCATCTTCGGCTAAAGGAATCTGCCAGTACCCCTTGCATAAGTCAATCGTAGTGAGGTACTGGCCTCGTGCCATCTTATCCAACAGCTCGTCTATCCAGGGCATCGGGTAGGCATCAGACACTGTCTTGTCGTTTAGCCTCCGGTAGTCAACACAGAAGCGCGTCGTGCCATCCTTCTTGGGTACTAGCACTACCGGCGATGCCCAGGGGCTACCGGAATGTTCAATAACTCCTAGCTGCAGCATCTCCTCAATCTCTTTCCGCATATGTTCCCTGACCGCTTCAGGGATGCGGTACGGGGTCTGCGCATAGGTAGCTGTCCTGGGGTCTCGACTCGGTGAGTGGCTAGCGGAGTGTACCCTGGTACATTGGAGAAAGTGGCTCCCTTAGCCGCGATTAACTCCTGTACCAGGGCCCGCTCCTAGGGGCTTAGCTGCTCCCCCAGCTGAACACCTGTGGAGGGCTCTGCCTGTTCTTCTGGCTCTAATAAATCAGGTAGCGGAAGGTTCTCCTGATCCTCTGAGCCGGAGGCGCATATCGCGGCCACGTCCTCTATCCTCTCATGGTAGGGTTTGAGCATATTCACGTGGAGCATCCGTCTCTTCCCTACCCCTGAGCAGGGGCCAATCAAATAGGTGGTGTCTCTGTTCCACCATCTGATATGGGCCTTGCCAGATGGCCTGCAGCTTGTCATTGCGAACAGGTTTCAAAATCAAAACTTTCTGTCCCACTTGAAAGCTGCGGTCCCTGGCTCCCCGATCATACCATCGGCGCTGGAGTTGTTGGGCCGTCTGGAGGTTTACCCGTATGGTCTGAGTTAGTGCCTCCAAGCGGTCCCGGAATTCCAGCACATATGGTACAATGAGTATCCCATCAAACCTTTCACATAACCCATTCGACTGCGGGTGATACGCGGAATTCACAATAGGCTTAATGCCACATATTTTCCATAATTGGTGGGTTACTTCGGCCGTGAACTGCGTGCCCCTATCTGATATGATCTCCTGGGGAAACCCGACTCAGGTGAAGACTTTCATTAATGCTTCGGCCACTGTCTCGGCATGAATATTGGAGAGGGCTACTGCCTCAGGGTACCTGATGGCATAATCTACTATGGTCAAGATATATCTCTTGCCGGAGGGACTGGGTTTGGGTAAGGGACCTACTATGTCCATGGCTACCCTGCTAAACGGTTCCTCTATGATGGGCAGTGGGCACAATTTGGCCTTGTGGCGGTCACCCCTCTTGCCTACTTGCTGACAGATGTCGCACGTCTGGCAGTATTGCTGCACATCCTTGGATATACCTGGCCAGAAGAAAGCGTGGGTCAGGCGGTGTCGGGTTCAGGTCATACCCAGATGCCCAGACAAGGGAATGTCATGGGCGATCCTAAGGAGTTCCTGCCGATATTTCTAGGGTACTACTAGCTGCCTAGTCATCACATTTACAGATCCCCCCACCACTCGTTCCGCAATACGGTACAGTAAACCCTTTTCCCAAGTATACCGCTCCCCCTCTAATCCCGCTTGATCTGAGGTCACCCTATCCCTATACACTTTCAACGTCTCAAATTCCGTCGGGGTGTCCCAGGGAACACGTGTCATGGGGGTTACATTGTCTCTTACCTGAGCCTCAGAGTGTGTGGATGAAGCCGTGGTGCGAGCCTGTTGTCTTGTGGTTACCGGGTGTGCCTCTTGGAGTGGAGCTTGGGGTACAAAAGCGGAAGTCAGACCTATACACACACAACCACATACATACAAACACATAATCATAGATATCCATACACTGTATCCTGAGGCCTGCCCTCACTGTATCCTGGGTCCTGCTTTCTCTTGCTATATTGCTATACACTCACTCTGAGTCTCAGATACAGTATAGACAATGGCACATTGCTATACACTCACACTCAGAGTCTCAGACAGAGTATAGACAATGGCACATTGCTATACACTCACACTCAGTCTCAGACACAGTATAGACAATGGCACATTGCTATACACTCACACTCAGAGTCTCAGACAGAGTATAGACAATGCCACATTGCTATACACACACTCAGAGTCTCAGACACAGTATAGACAATGGCACATTGCTATACACTCACACTCAGAGTCTCAGACACAGTATAGACAATGGCACATTACTATACACTCACATTTAGAGTCTCAGACACAGTATAGACAATGGCACATTGCTATACACTCACACTCAGACACGGAATGCACACACTGCCACACATTCAGTATATACATGACACACACAGATACAATATACACAAACAACTGTTAAATGCACAGTCAGACATAGTGCATCCATTGTAGTATCTTGAGGTTTTTCCTTTTATGTCACACCCTATGATGTTATGTATTTATTATTTGTGCAAATTAGCAGAGTTGTGGTTTTGTTTTCCATCATATGCCAAGCACGTACAACTATACTACAAGGAGAGCTGCACATTGTGCTGATTCCAGCTGCAGCAGTGAAAGGGTTAATTTTACTGGCAGCACTAACCTAGTGAGACCTTATACAT